GGTAAAAGTTCGCGTCACACCTTTCACCTTGTGACGGCACACTGGTTGTGGAACACTGCTCTAGAGAGCAGATTAGTTTCTTATTTTTTTTTGTGGGGGGGGGCATTGAGAGAATTGGCATTTCATGTTTGATCTGTTAGAGGGTATGCCATTATTTACTTGAAAAGAGTTTTATTTAGGTAGGTGGTCTCTATAAATGACTGAAATATAATCAAAATCATTAGAGCAATTTTCAAGAAAGAAAATTTTATATTCTGTTTTTAGAGCTGGAATATTTGTTATGAACATATGTAAGTTTTACCATCAGTGCAACAGTACTTTATTATTTACTTCATTTATTTATATAGAATGTACTACATGTTTTGACCTTAAACGGGTCATCTTCAGGTGCTGTAAGTTTCTCACACACCACTACCAAACTGCAATGCTAACATTTACATTTTTAAAAATGGTTTGTACAAATTAGTTTCTATTCAGTTCACAAACTAGACAAATCTAGACTAGAAATTTGTTAAAATTAACAGTAAAATACTGTAAAATAAGAATAAAAATCGTACATTTGATAAACTCATATACACAACAATAGATTAAACCTAATTTAACAGTTAGGTGATCCTAAATCCACAATTTAATATTTAAAAAATTATTTTAAAATCATTATGAACTGCAAGTTTGTTACTGCAGTAGACCACGCATAGGCTTCATCAGATTTCTTCTACTGTTTGCTGCACTGGCTCCCTGTCTTAGTATCATAATATTCTCATTTTCCTAGAGAATTGATCCCTTATTTCATGTTGTCAGGAGCCAATCTACAGTGTTTTTTTAAGTGTATGAATAGTGATATGTTGCATTTTATATTTATATTAGGGTTTTGAATATTAATTCATTTATAATATTTCTTTACTACTTATGGTTAATATGTGCTGTTTGTATTATGCGGCTCGTTGTGCTGCTAGGTTCATATTACAGTAAACTACTTCATTTATGGTTGCTAGCTTATTGTTGCAGGATGAGGGTAACAGTAGTGAAGGGATGGGGTATTCAGGGGAGGGGAAAATGTTAGGGGGGGGTGGAGTAGGTGGCATGTCAATAAGGGTGTGGAGCTGTGGTGGCTGGTAGAGATTTCTGGAAAGGGTCGGGTTTTCAATAATTTAATTAGCTTTTGTTATTTCATATATAGGGTTATACATGTTGATTGATGTTTCATTCATTTGTAATCCTTGTTATAGTATGTATATATAATATATATAGTAATTCTCAAGTGTATCCAGCATTTGGCCCTTTTTTTTCCCCCACATACAATACTTCCATTTTTTCCATAGTATTGTACATAGTTATGCATCGTATGGAGTATGTGTTGGGCAGATTTTGAACTTTTGCCATTTGTTTGTATGTCTCTAATGTGCTTGTTATATGTAATTCTAAGCGTGCGGCCCATCTGCCGTACATACTTAAGGGGGCACCCTTTTGGTATTAATTTTATTATTATTATCATCGTCATCTCTTGTCACAGGTTTATTTCCTGGTATTCCTTTGCTTGGACCANATAAGAGTTGTAATCTCTTTCTCTCCATCAAATCGGACATTTACACAACAGAGTCGTCCGTCAAATAGTATCAGATATTAAATAACATACAATGGCCCTCCAAAAATCACATCAGCCATTGTGTATATAATATGTCCATATAAGCATTACATATATTACGATTACAACTGCCAACTTCCAAATACCATCACATATACAACTTTTAACTATACTTTTGACTATGTAACTTGTTATTTAAGACTTCAACTTTTATTGTAATTTATATTTTATGAATTTGATTTGTTTCATTCTGGTCCGTCACACTAACAATTACAAAGACAAAANTCTTGGAAGTTTAGCACTGTATCCTACTATATTTGACATACAATTTAATAACAAAAAGTTTAATGTATTTTCCTGGTGACGGCCTTGTGAAGGCCGAAACATGTAGCAAAAGTATCTCCTAGAGCTATTTACACGTGTAATTGAATGTTGTGTCATGACGGTTTTCAGTATGAAATAATATTCAGGTATTTATTCATGCTTCTTGCCTGACTGACTGCGTTGACTGTAAAAGTTATATATGTTTATTGCGTATATAAAACAGGATGCAATCCTTAAAATAAATAGGATATTTATGTTCACTACTCACCAACCTATGATGGATAACTTAATTAACAAACATGAATAAAATCTGGTGAACCCTTCATGCACTATTGAGGCGCACATATATACAAACAAATTCCAAATACCACTTCTTCATATTTAGGGGTGCTGAAAACACACAGATCCATTAAAAGCTTAAGATTGCTTCCCTCCCGTGATCACAGACATTGATTAAACCAAGTTTAATTGCAGTCCCTGTAGAGGTGGGTCTGTCAGGATCTGAGAAGAAACTGGAGTTAGGCTCAAGCTAGGCTGCACCATTGCTGAAGCGGTTAGTCACTAGCTTCTCATTGCAGCAGCCCACGTTCGATCCCGGGTCTGGTCAAGTGGGATTTGTGGTGGATAAAGTGGCGCTGGGGCACGTTCTCTCAGAGTACTTCGGTTTCCCCTGCCAATCTTCATTCCACCAATTGCTCCACAATCATCCTCAACTATCATCTGGGGCTGGTACAATAGGCCAGAATTGGCTGCAGTACAAGGGACATAGTTCCATCCCACTAGCAATTTAAAAAAAAAAGGTTTGGGCTCAGGCTTCAGTGGGCATGCAAGAGAATACAAATAGGCTGGCAGTGCTGTGAGACTCGACAGGTATAACACAGATTGGGTTGAGTTTGGGCAGTTCTAGCACATGTGCTTCAGTGGTGTGAGATGGTCACTTGCGATTATGGTACGCCATGCACCGAATGAAAGGATCTGACTTCATCATGTCTCCATGGCTAGGGCACAGAGATTGTTCTAACACAAACAACACGAAGTTATCCCATTAATGGACCACCAGATAAGGGTTACTGATCACAGCAACCAGGTGCTTGCACCTGTACAGAAATTAAAACTGCCATATGAATATTACCTTGGTCTGTCTTTATGGAATGCATCCTGTTGCGTGATCAGACTAGTCGGTTATCAAGTTCCATCTAACGCAACACAGAGAACATATAAAGTTGTAAATATGGGCCCATATGAGAGGTAAAGCTTTTGCAATTCAGTAGAGCACTTGTTAAGCATTTATATTCACCTGATGATGACCATATAAAATGGTTGAAACATGTTGTGATTTTAATAAAACAATTTGAATGTTATACATTCACTGTGTTACATTAGATGGAATATGATAATTGATTATTATGTTGGACTGTTTGTGGTATCTTTGATATACATAATGTTTTAGGAGTTGGCTGTACTGTCATGTTGAAGTGATTGGTTGTCATTTTCGGTTTAGTGTTGGTGGCAGTAGTTGCAATGGAACCCCAGACTTTTTGAATGGCAGGCCAGTAAGCACACCACTAAAATGGACCAGGAATTATTGTCACTCGTGTTACACATTTGGTTACTACCTGTCTCATGTGGGGAATTACATGGAGCTCACATCTGTGGTTGTGTTCTGATCAGTTCATTTTTCCTGGTGATACTCAGAAGAGGCCATCAGTCACCCAAGTGTAGATGTGGACTCCCTGTGGCTCCTACACTGAGACAAGAAGTAACCAAATGTGTAACATGACTAAGAGTTATCATCAGGGCCCGGATTTTGATGACATGTCATCTTTTTTCCCTTGTATCCTATGCGATGCTCTTAAATATATAAATCTCGGATATGAGCTGCTGGTTACGGAAATGTAAATTTTATAGGTGATTTTTTGTTATTTTTAGGTTTAGGGTCATTTTTTTCATTTTTGAGGTAAATTTTTGGACTTAAGGGTATTTCTTGTAATTTTGGCCATTTTAGGGAATTTTTATTCACGTTTCCTGAAATGTGAATAACATGGAAGCAAAGTGTTCTTTCCTTTCAGCTTTAGGTCATTTTTTAATATTTTCAGGTCATCAAAATCCAGGCCCTGCATATTACATTTCTGGGTCATATTTTAGGTAATTTTCCTGGATTTTTCGGTCATTTTTTAAATATTTTTAGGTCATCAAAATCTGGGCCCTGGTTATCATAAAAGGTCTTGGGTCACACTAGTGATTTAGTGGTTTGTCTTCAGAAGGTTCAATTCCAGCCACAGTCAGTGAGCTCTATAATTAGTAAAATTAACTGTGCTGTACAGTGTGTTCCACTTACAAAGTGCTTCCAAAATGGGCAATCTTGGCATACCAAATTCTACAAAGAAGGTAAATCAAATTTGTAAGCATGTGGATACACCAGGGTTTAATGTGGATGAATGTTATATACACTGAAAGTGGCCATTACTTTCTTTGTCTAATTAAAGCCTCTCTAAATACCTTAAGTTAATCATAATACTCTATATTTGTTTAAATTAGTTTAGGTTTATGTCAGTTGACTACTACTGTATTTAGCATACACTGTATCAAATACAGCTGTTTTATCACATATTGGTTACTTTTAGAAATCTTCATGGGGACAGCGCTGAATATGGTTGAAAGCAGCCAATGTACGTGATTAATGACTGTATTTGCTGAGAAGTGAAGTTTCTATTTCTTAGAGGATGATTAAAACTAATGTCAGATTTTTATTTTTGCTTTGCAGGGAGGGTGATGGAGGTATCGGGATGGAGAGCTACAGAATTTCATTTTCTACAAGATAGTTCACAAAAGGTACTTCTTGCCAGCAACCTGTGAGGTACTAATCCTACTCAAATTCAAAATCAGACATTTCTTTCCTGTTTTATTCACATTCTTCAAATACAGTTTAACTTTACAAGTTACGCTTATATTTAACTGCTAAAGTCATAAGTTTCTTCAAAGTTAACAGCCCAGGGATTCTCGTGGACGATGTCGTTCTCCTCCGTGGCAAACAGGACTGCCACTCGACTGCAGTCATTCAGATGGGAGATTATGGAGCATGCACCATATAGTCCAGACCTCGCCCCCAGTGATTATGTGTTCGGTCCACTGAAGAAGTTCCTGGCAGGCCAGAGGTTCATTTCAGACGATGCGAAAACTGCTGTCCAGCAGTGGTTCCGTGCTGAACCGGCCAAATTCTACAACAGCAGTATCTCAAACTAGTGGTGCGATGGGACAAATGCGTGAACTGGGGTGGTGACTATGTGGAAATATAGTCGAAGGTACTTAGAACACTGCCTGTATTTTGATTTCTGTGTATGTGTATTATCATGGCTGAAAAAAAAAATGGGCAAAGACTTTTCAATTTGCCCTCATATATTAATACAAATATTATATTTTTGGACATTATCCATGGTCTTGTCTTTATCTAAAAATTCTGTTTTGAAAAATAAAGAGGACAGTTTTTATATAAAGACAAGGCGATGGATAATTTTCAAAAACATAATATTTGTGAACATGAATGTTATATGGGTGGAGTGGGAGGCCATGCCCCTCAGGATGGCTGGGCACCAGTAATGGTTGTAATGCAAGGTGTATGGAATTACCAGCTTCAAAATCCAGATGTGACAGGCTTATTTTGGACTGTCTGAGGTATTTGATATGCACAGTGTTTTGGGAACTGACTGTATTATCATCTTGGCATGATTAGTTGTAATTATAACAAGATACTTTTATTATTGCTAATTTAACATAAAGATTTTGAACCCAAGGCCAGTAAGCTGACCAGTGGAGTGACCCAGGAATTGTAAATCTACTTACATTACACATTTGGTTACTATGAGTCTAATAGTGGGGAAGCCACATGGAAGTTATGTCTGTGGTTGGTTGAGGGCCTGTTCTGATGACTCCAGAGAGTTACGGTTTCCTGGTGATCCTCACATCAGCCAACCAAGTGTCGATGTGGCTCTCCCCACTATGAGAGCGGGAGTAACCATGTGTGTAACATAAGTGAAGAGTAATGACAAGAGTCCCTGAGCCACCCCAGTGGTCTAGTGATTAATGTATCAGCCTGGTGTTCAGTTCCAACCACAGACACTGATTTCTGAAATAATTATTAAAATTAATTTTGCTGTACATTATGATCCAGTAACTTAATATTTTGCTTTGCAGGTGACCAGGTCCACGTGCAGTATTAACACGGGGCAACCTTGGCATGCAGGATTGAGGAAAAAAGGTAAATTGAAGTTATAAACATGTCTGAATATTAAATTGAAAGTAGATGTGTGCTTCTGTATTTATACATGTTGAGTGAGTTCTATTGTACTCAGCATTTCACTGTATCAGGTGCAACTATATCACGTATTGGTTACTTTTAGTGATCTTCAGGGACTGCCATACATGCTGAAGTTTAAAAACAGCGTGTGGTGAGAGTCCCCAGAAGATGGCTGAAAGAAGCCAATGGTATTTGTGATAAATAGCTGTAATTATTGAGGGAAATTTTATGTAATTTTATTTTGTAGAGGATAATGAAAACTAATGTGAGATTTTTATTTTTGCATTGCAGGGAGGACGATGAGAGGTATCGGAGTTCTGGCGTGGAGGAGGACATGTACGAGTGTGCCACGGAATTTCATTTTCTACGAGATAGTGCGCAGAATGTACTTCAGTTTTTCCCAGCATCTTTTCCTCCATTTATGCTCCTCCTCTTTCTCCTTTATAATCCTCTAGTACTTTTTTCCATTTCCTTTCTTTTGAACTTCATTACATTCTTGAAGAGTAATAACTGTGTATACATAATACATTTTTGTGAATTATATAATTTAAAATTTGATTACATTCTTGAAACTTCATAAATATGTGCACATGTACACTGCCTGTGCATTATATATAAATACAGTGTAGCATCACATGCATACTAGCAACTTACAAGGAAGACAAAAAGCAGAAGTTCTTGAAGAAATGTGGTGCTGGCAGAAATTGAAGCCCTTTGTGCGCACTATCTCCTGAGAAATTAAATTTTGTGGCACCCCCATACATATCCTCTCCAGTGTGAAGCCATCCATAAGCTTCCCAGTGTTCTCCACAACCTGGAAACAAACAGAACAAAATCAGTATTGTTACACTTCTCATAGCAATGTACTACTCCATCTTAACTTATTGGTACTCTGTTGAAGGAAATTCCCTTTACACAAGTAACTTAAGATGGAGGCACTACATTGCTTAACATAAGTTGCTGTAAGAAAACTTTGATCACAAATAAACATATTCCAAGTGACTGAAACCAGTCACTAATTTTTGGCAATTGTTAGACCCCTGATCAGTCCCCTCGTTCCTAAGTATAAATACTATTGCTCCAACCTAAGGTTCAAATCTCAAATTACCCTTTACCAAATATTCTCAATGTTGGATTTGACGTTCTTCTGGGATGTGATGCTGTACATTCTGGTAGTTTACCAGTGTTTCAGAGGAACATTTACCTTCAGCTTCACGCTCAACAGTGGGCAACAGCTTGGTTATTCTTTCTTGGCTTACTATTGAAGATCGAGGCAGCGTGTTCCTCAAAAACATCAAACTTCTAGACCATGTGGCATCACATCCCATCTAAAACATTTTCCATTTAAGGTGATGCCTCACCAAACATTCTACTCCCATAATGTTGTGACTAAGCTGATGATTGGGATCTGTTCAAAAATTGGAGGGGGAATGTTTTGAACATCAGTGTGAACCTCTGAGCCAAGAGGTTACCCACACTAATATGTACATGAGACTAACATATCAATTAACAAATTTCATACTAACTGCATATATCGTAATTTAAATTTGATTTGTCTCTTTCTGGTCCATCACACTATTAATTACAAATAGGATAATTTTCAGTCTAGTGTGACATACAAGTTTACAACACTTCAGTCTTTATTCACCTTACATGTTTCGATTCAAAACAATCATCCTCAGAGGCGCACCACTACGATCAGGAAACATTGTCACATAAGATGTTTTAACAATATGCACTTAAGCTATGAATAATGCTCACTATATAAATTTGTTGTTATTATCACAGTTAGTTTTGATGTTTGCCTTATGCATTCACGATGACACTTCTTGAATTGAAACATGTAAGGTAAATAAAGACTGAAGTGTTGTAAACTTGTATGTCACACTGGACTGAAAACTTTGTCATAATTTAAAGTTCACAAAACTTCACCAAACAGCATTTAATTTTCCATACTGTGATACTTTAAACAGATGTGGGACAATCAGCTCCGATTGTGAACTTATGAACTTCTGAGTCTACAGACCTGAGTGGGTGCTGCTTCACAGCTTTACTCTAACAGCACATATAAGTATAGTAAAACTAATTTGTTGCTGGTACTTGTGTGTCAAATGTTTGACAGGATTAAACAATACTACTTACTTTCTTTCATATAATGATTTCCCAAATTTGATTTTCAGAAAGTGTGAAGGCCATCCTGCAAATTTAAATAATCTGTGTTCAAATATCTATGCTCATTCAGTCTGTATCAAAACATATTTTCAAATATTAATTTAAGGGGTATTCCTGAACATTCTGATGTGCTCCTAAAATCTGAAGACAGTCCAGCCATTATAAGCCATCAGTTAACAGGGCAATAACCTCCCTCCCTCTGCCAACAGACTACACTAAGAAACTTGTCACTGCCCAACACATTATGACATGGCATCTCTTAAATGTAAAATGTAAAGGTATTCCTGTAACAGGCCATGGAGGCCCATAAGGTTGTGAGATGTCAATGCTCTGACATTTTCTACGGCTCACAGGTTGCAGTGAGGTTGTCAGCCTTAAGTACCAGCCGCCCTCTACCTCCAGGAATATTCCTGGTACTCATTTCTGTTAGAGGCTGAGTCAACTCCAGGGAATCGAACCCATGACCTTCTGGCTTGTGGCATAGTGCCTCAACCAACTACATACACTACCATGTGTCCCCAATGGCATCTCTTATATCATAATAATCCTTGTACAAAGAGAATTCCTTTTTTCAGTCAATTAACATCAACTTTAGTTTCAATAATATTCTCATTACAAAACTGTCTCAAAGAATGACTTAGCAACAGTGTTATTAACATCAAAAAGACTTTCAAAAATTAATTTTTAAAATAAAAGTAACTGATTACCTTCTCTGAGTAAACCCCAATTCACACTCCACAACTGACCCAGGCTGATATCCTTATGTTCATTTGCTGTGCACCAACTGTGAAAAACAAAAAGTGACATGAGGCACTCTGTGTTTCACAGCAACCAACTTCCTCCCTCTTGAGAAGCACAATGGCATAACAACACATTAGACACTCTCCAGCAATTACAAAGTACCAAGCAAGGAACCACACACTCTTAACCTTGGCACCAGACTCAGATATGAGATCAGGTTCACACTCAAAGAAGTACCCTCACCCTATAGAGAACCAAACCATGACTGCCCAGCTTATAATTTCAAAATAAAGCATGAGAACTACACATTTCATGTGTTGACATTTAACTGAGGACTGGGGGCAACTTTCCCTTCATATTAATGATGTTCTTGAAATCAGTGAGTTTCACACAAATGCTGTATAAGACATGCACAGACATATTATAGATTCCTGTGACTTCTACCCTGGATATATTTACTCAGGTTCTACCAGGTGTCCTTAAAGGTTCATCGTGGTTTTCCTCGGTAATGTGGAACTCATGCATGTCAGTGCTTGTATAAGAGAATACCAAACACAGCATCAAGCTTCATGAAATATGTGTCAAAGACCAAAATTAATGCTCTTATTAAGAGTTCTATCTTTTGGGATATAAGGCTACATACTCCTTTGGAAGACAACCTACATTTCAGAGGAATGTCCATTGACTTTCAATAGACTTCGTGGTGTTGCATCTCAGAACACAAAACTCTTCATGGCCATTGCTGTGAATACCTTGGATCCTACAAATGGCCTTATTATTTTCCTGAAGGAAACAACATTTTGTATTTGGTCCCCTAGGCATGCATGGTTATTTTCCTGAGGATGCAGTTTTGTAACTATAATGTCCGTATTAATATTTAATATACTGAATATGAATAAAATCTGTGAAACTGTTCAGATGCTGGCAAGGGTACCATCCATATATATAGACAGCACTAATTTTTCATATACAGGGGGCCTCAAAATGTACAACTGTGTCAACATTTCACAGTCCCAGAGCTGGTCTGGGCATCGTACCCTACAGGGAATTCAATCCCGGTCCTACACTTGTAACAAGTCACTCCTTACTGAACTACCCCACCCTTCAGGTAATGACATGACCATAACATAATGAATGAAAATTGAATGAGAATAAGTTGATGGTGCTGGCCTTTTTCTTTACCATCCTACCAACAAACAAGCCTGCTTCATACTCTAGAAGGCCCAGACTTGAATTCTGATCCAGATACTTGCTATACTGATTGAAGTTTACATTATTTTTCTCAGTCACTCCAAGCAACTGCTGGGGCAATGCTACATACTAGACCACAACTACTTCCTTTATAATTCTCAGTCACAGTGACCCTACCATTTTATAGTTCATTCATTCTTTCATCAATGACTCTAAAGCCCTTTATTGGGCCCTGGCGTCTTCTTCAGTTTTAAATCTTTTTACACAGTCAGTAGGACTCCTTGGACGAGTGATCAGCCTGTCACAAGGCTGCTACGTACACACAGGATAACAAACACTGAATGAACACACATATACACATCCATGCCTTGAGTGAAATTCAAACCCAAGATTCCAACATTCAAGCAAGTGAAAAAAGTTCATGCCTTAGACCACATGACCACTGTGATCACCATTTTACATTAACCTACATAACTGAAAAGAAAAATGTTAAATAAACCAAGGATAAACTGTCAACAGTATAACTTATCAGCACAAAGTTATGAACTGACCTCTCAACACAATGACCCACCATGTATCAGTTTAGTTACCATCTTGTTTAAAACTATGACACAATTCAGGCTGAATTCATCAAAAAATCACACGCAAATAACAGCAATAATGAAACACAGATGAAGAAGAAAATGGTATATGAAGAAGCTGAAGGTCCAGTTCACAAGAAGGGTGATGAATTATGACATAGTAACTACAGAGGAATACCTCACTAAATGTGTTATGAAAATGTTGAACAATATTATATACAGAATGCCATCTTCTGGGATTTGGCACCGTGTATATGTGGTGTTAACCGACGTTTCGGAGGAACGTATCGCCCCCATCTTCAGGGTTGAAGAAAAAGTATAAGTAAATCTGCAAGCGACAACACCNACTGACTGATTTTGAATAAGCTTACTATATTGCACACAAAGAACATCTATATAAACTTCAAGCACATTTGGGATTCCTAAGAACTTAGTCAATCCAGTGAATATGACTCAGACTCTCAAGAGCAAGGTTAAAATTCCAGGAAAAATAATCAGATAATTTCACGGCCAAAAGGGAACTTGGACAAGAACAAATTCACCCTTATGGAAATTTAGGATAAATATACATATTTTGTTAACACAAAATCTTAAGAGTAACAATCATACATGAACATCCATCAGTGACAATGGGGATTGGCTTATAGTGTGGCTGCTATTCCCATCTTATTTTAGTATGTACAGTGTATTCGTCGCATTCAAGATGTTTGGAAAGAGATCAACAAGTTCAAGCACCAGCAGTGCACCCAAAAGCAAGTGGAAGGTGCACCTACTGTTATGTCTAATGGGTCTAATCAAGCATAGCCTGAAAAATAAATTCAGCAGGAATGCACTTTCACAATACAGACACATTTTCAAAAACATTCTTTTTTTCACTGTAAGGGTAAGCTCTACAGGAAAGTTTTTAATAAAACAGTGCTATCTTTTGGTACCAGTTAACTCTTTGCAAGGGCCACCCACTTTTCCTGAGAAAATGTCTGTCACATAATGTCAAACAGAAGGTCCATATTTATATTCAATTCAGTTCACAACCTTTTCTCATCTGCTAAGAAACATAAAAATTAGAATATATAACACTATAATTTTGTCTGTGGTTCTGTATGGGTGTGAGACCTGGTCTCTGACTTTGGGGAAGGAACATAGACTGAGTGTATTTGAGAACAGGGTGCTGAGAATATTTGATCCAAAGAGAGATGAGGTAACAGAAGGTTGCAGAAAACTGCATAATGATGAGCTTCACAACTTGTACTCTTTTCCAAGTATAATTAGAATGATCAAGTCAAGGAGGATGAGATGTGCATGGCATATAGCACAAATTGGGGAGAGGAGGAATGCATATAGGATATTGGTGGGAAAGCTGGAAGGAAGAAGACCACTGGAAAGAGCAAGACATAGGTGGGTGGACAATATTAAAATGTATCTTAGAGAGATAGGATGGAATGGTATGGATTGGACGGATGTGGCTCAGGATAGGAACCAGTGGAGGGCTCTTGTGAACCTGGTAATGAACGTTCGGGTTCCATAAAATACTCGGAAAGTTCTTCAGTAGCTGCATAATTGGCAGCATCTCAAGAAGGGCTCAGCTCCATGATATATTCTCAAAATTCCTCTTGTAAAATCACCCTCTCAGATTTTTGATCATACAGTGTTGCAAAAAATAAGCAATATTCAGTCATCCAAGTGCAACACAGGCTTTAAGACTAACATCAAATAAAATTATTTATGACACAGGAAATTCATGTGCACCAGACAGGTTATTTTGATGAGCACAAAAATTCTTTCATAAAAGACAAAACACATCTACATGCCAAGTGTACAGATGAGTTAACTTCTCAATATTATGATGTAAACCATTTCACAGAAGAACATTATCAAATGAATATATAAATTTAAGATTTTCAACTCACCTCAAAATAAGCACCTATAAAGAAGCTTCCTGCAGTCACTATGCAAGGGGCTAGACTCCCTGGGCGCTTGTAACACAGGTCACATTTGAACGGAATCTTCATCACGACACACAGCAATTCCTTCAGTTGGATGCCACTGAACTCCTGCATATAAAGAGTGGCTCTATAAGAGAATTTGCAACCCTTCCACTTATATCAAACTGTCAAAAGCATGGAGGTAGCTGCCCACATACAAATAAGACCAGTACAACTACTGCATGCAGATGAAATTATCAGCCCAAAGAAAACAAGCCAAATTGCAGTGGTTACATGTTCGAAGCAAAATAAATGGAAATAATCTGAAAGACAAAATTGATGAATAAACAGTAAGAACATTCAAGATCTGTATAGAGGAATAAATGACTTCAAGAGGGGTTACCAACCTAGATGAAATTAGTGGAGGATGATAATGATGATATGCTTGTAGATTCCCACATTTTGAACAGGTGGAAGAATTACTTCTCTGTTATTGAATGCACATAGGGTCAGTGATGTTAGGTAAAAATATGTACAGCAGAGCAGTTAGTACAAGATCCTAGTCCTTCTGGGGCTGAAATTGCTACTGCAAAGTGGACAAGGTTTAAACTGCCTGGTAGTAATCAAATTCTGGCAGAGTTGATTCAAGCAGGAGGTGAAATATTACATTCTAAGATCCACAAGCTCATTAATTCTATTTGGAATATGGAGAAATTGCCTGATCAGAGGAGGAGTCTATTATTGCACCAATTCACAAGAGTGATAAAACTGACTGTAGTAATTATCGTGCTATCAACTCATACAAAATTTTATCCAGCATCCTTCTCTCAAAGTTAAGTTCACTTGTAGAAGAAATTCTTGGGGAGCAGTGTGGGGTTTGAAGTAACAAATAAACTACTGATCAAATCTTTGCACTTGTCAGATACTGGAGAAAAAATGAAGTACAATGAGAAGGCACATCAGCTATTTGCAGACTTTAAGAAAGCCTGTGATTCAGTTAGGAGGGAAATACTGTACAGTATTCTCATAGAGTTTGGGGTACACATGAAACTAGTTACCTAAGCTTAATAAAATGTATTTAAATGGAACCTCTATTGAAGTCTGATATGTTTCCTATCCAGAATGGTCTAAAACAAGGACATGCTTTATTGCCATTGCTTTCAAACTTTGCTTTAGAATATGCCATTAAGAAGGTCCAGGAAAACCAGGTGGGACTGAAATTAAATGGGACACATCAGTTGTTGGTCTATGTTCATGATGTGATTCTACTGGGAGATAACAGATACCACAGAGAAAAACACACAGACTTCACTGACTGCTAGTAAGGAGTTTGGTCTAGAAGTAAACACATAAAAAACTAAGTATATGCTGCTGTTTCATCACAAAAATTCTGGGCAAAACCATAACATAAACGTGGGTAACAGATATTTTGAAAATGTGGCACAGTTCAGATATTTGCGGACAGTAACATATCAAAACTTGATTCAGGAGAAAATTAAGAGATTTAACTCAGGCAATGCCTACTACCATTCAGTCCAGAACACTGTCTTCTCATCTGCTGTCTAAAAACATAAAAATTAGAATATATGAAACTATAATTTTGCCTGTGGTTCTGTATGGCTGTGAAACCTGGTCTCTTGACATTACGGGAGAAACACAGACCGAAGAGTGATGAAGTAACAGGAGGCTGGAGAAAACTACATAATGAGCTTCATAAATTGTACTCTTTGCCAAGTATAATTAGAATGATCAAGTCAAGGATGATGAAATGGGAAGGGCATATAGCTCGAACAGCGGCGAAGAGGAATGCATATAGGATATAGGTGCGAAAGACGGAAGGAAAGAGAATACTGGGAAGACCAAGATGCAGATGAATGGAAATATTAAAATGAAGTTCTTGAGTAGCTGCACAATTGGCGGCTTCTCAAGGGCTCAGCTCCATGAGTGAAAGTGTTTGGATGTGGAGCATTTAAGGTTTCCGTTACAGTTCTTTGTGCACAGTAACGTAGTTTGACACCTAATTAACGAGACGACTGCACAGCATTAATCAACCGGAATACAAGTAGGTATGGCCTCTTCAGGATCAACACCTAATCTGGGACTTTTGGTAGGTGGGGAATCCGAGCCACATTTTGCACTTTCGCATCGTCAAAAATATGTTACAAACCATATCTTCTTCTTATCTGCAAACTATTATTTCATGTCTTTCGCTCCTATTAACGTTACTTTAAACAGCACGGCACTTCACTATTCCTTTTTTTCCTTTTCACTTTCAAATGCCATTCCTACTAAACACAAACGTCAATCCGCCATCTTTACCGTCCATCGTAACGATCGTAACCAATCAAATCACATCCCTCCAGTCACGTGAATGAACGAGTATATCTCCCAATCCTCCCCATACCAGGGGTTCTTAATCATCTGAACACGATGGAAGGCTGCGCTTTGAGCTTCTTCAAAACCATTAGGTTGCGACACGATTCTTTTTTGAAGATGCATCTGTTGTACAAAAATGTCGAGTATTTAAATTAAACAATACTGTGACTATGTGCAATGTCGTATTCACTAAAGCACGGTTCATATTTTCTATTTTACTGATCTGTACGAACATTCAAGCATGTTACTTAACTAAGTATCTCTCTTCATAATGTCACATTATATTCCATGGATGGACTGCCTATATGGTTCTCCCTACGACTGTTTACATACAAACAGATTTGCCTCCACTCTTCTTAAATTAAAATCTTGTCAGTAACAAACATGATACACAATTTGCGGTGAAAATAACACAATGGGAAGCAACTACGTCTCACAGAACACATGCTCAACAAATAATTGTCATACATCTAATGTTCTGAACACTGCAAATAACCTCCCATAAAAAGTTACACATCTGTAACATCAAAGTTTATATTATTTTCTGTAATTAACAATGACCCCAAACCAGGTTATACTTAAGAAGTTCACGGTTCTCATACAACTATACTCATGGGTGGTGGATGGGAATCAGACTTTAAAAACAAAGTAAATACCTCATACATTCATATAGAAATCTGAAGGTATTGTCACATGTTGGGTGATATGTATAACGAAAATAAGGGGTTCTATATCGTATGATTGGATTTATTAGCACTTCAGTTACAAGTTCTCCTAATTATAATTAATACAGCGCTATCGGTTTTACAATAATTTACAATTCACTGTTGCAGAGGCACTAGGATTCTCAGTTCCACAAGTCATCTCCTGGCAACGGATCTCAACACAGAATCTAGCGTGTCAATTCACTATGAGGTCTTCTTGTTATTTCATCTTCAATCACTCTGTACTCCTGTCCTAATATATACTCAATCTTCACCATTCACTAAGGACATATTCCATTCTCCTCCTTGTACTCTTAACTGCTGAACCCTCCTGGACGGTTCACTAATCTAAGCTACAACAGGTCTATATTATATAGCCATTGAACGGACAACACAGAAAACACAGTTCAATTGTTGTGCAGCACAGACCACACCACGTAATAGATATCTCGCCATTCTGCCAGTCTGTTGCCCAGCAACAAGCTATGAACATTCGTTCTATTGCTGCATGCCGTGGGGTGTTTATCGAACCATTGCCTGGCAATGTGTTGACATGTCACATTTAAAAAATACTGTCCATTCCAAAGTACTCTAAGGAGGGGGTCAATAGAAAGAGGTTTACATGCTTTAAATATAAGTTTGTAAGAAAATTATCTGTCTGCCTCACTTAGAAACAAATCCTGGTAGCATCTATGACTGTATTTAATTTATTAAATTACCACAATGTAAACTAATTTGCATGTAATGATACACTCTTTAAAATTTGTCATGCAAAACAGTATTCATGGGAGTGAAATTTCAGTTTTCTACTCTGTGACAAAGATCAACAGAAGTGCTAAGGGCATGTCATCTTAGATTTAAACATAACTTTACTTGGACATCTTATCAACTAAGAATGGTAAAATAAAATGAGATACATCTTTTCAATTAAGTTATCAGTAGCATTTAGTTATGTGAGAATGGTTTCTATTAGGACTAGTAACCTTACATAAAAGGCATACTCTGTGATAAGGGGACTGGAGGGGTCAGCACAATTTGTTAGATTTACCTGTAAATGAACCTCAAATTCACCAACATGTCACAGAATTATAAAGCTATTTTAGTGACTGGAAGCAATGAATTTCCCTCTACATTCATATGTACTTTTATTATACTGTTGCCATCTTCATGTTTGAAAACTAGGCCAAGCAAGGAGCAAACATTCTCCTTTCTTCTACACAGCGTCACATCCCAAAACATAATATTCTTCATGGTCACCGTTGCTAGAACCTCAAATCTAACAGCAATCACGTTTCATTTATCAGGGAGAATATTTGATACCTTTCTCTTTACTGTGGAACATGACATTTACTGGTAGAACAATTCTTTGTAAAAGAGACGCATCTATTGCTTTAATGGAAATTTGTGCTAGACCAATTAGTGCATTATAATATTTCTGTGACATGTGACAAATTACACCTAAGCGATAAAACAAACCACTTAACCTGCTGCTCCATCCAACTTCTAGCAATGTTCACATTTAGATTTAAACACACATAGAGATAGTTACTTAATCTTGTTTGTATAATACCATCCAACATTCATATTGTCACTGACTCATATTATTAATTATATCATGTAAAACACTTTCTTGCTACCTATACTCTTCTTCCAACACCATCCTTAAAATGTTCCATCAACTGCCATATACGAGTACATTCAGCCACAAACAACTTCCAGGTAAGTTCTTAAAAAAAAATCCCCACAATATTGTTGTATAGGGGTCTAGAAGGGATGTACTGCATATAATGATGATATTAAATTACCTGTAGAAATAGGTACAAATACCAAGGTATTGCATATAATTGGATTATTTTAACAGAATATATCTATAAGCTGTGTAAGCTGTATTCTTCCCCAAAAGTGTTGTCAGCTGGCCGGATATCAATTGAACTTGTGACCCGAGACACTACGTCACATTTGGAGTGAGGGCCCTCACAGCACTGGGAATAGTACAACAGCCGAGATTGAAGTTCAAGTGACTACTTTTGTAACCATATTTGGGCATAATCCGGGACTCAGTCTTTAATTGTAGTATAAAACCCCAAGGACTGACGCCCCAAGTGCTTTTAGAGCATTCAACTAGCTGAGACTACTTGTATGCCAGTCTAATAGTCGGTACTGCCCGTAGCTTAGGCAGATAACCACTTCTACGTTTCCAGCAAGATCCTGTAATTCATTTGTTAGTAATAAAACTTCATTTATATTACAACTGCTGAGAGGTACACCCCATTCTGCCTCCCAAGGGATCCGCTCGCCCAAGGCCAACCTTATCCCTCAACCGCAGGATACAACAATATACAAAGTCTGTACAGATTTTAAATAACATACAAGATAGTCATTGTCATCACAGACTGACACAGAAATGTGAGGTACTCCATTAATAGACAACATTGCTTGTCCTTTCAAAAGCAATTTACTGAAATATATTTAAAGGCAATAATAAAAATCATGAAAAGAATACTACCAGGCACATTTTGTATCCCATGCCTATCTCATTTCTTGTGTCCAGCAGTTAAAACAGAGTATTTTAATATACCAGTCAAAATTGTAATAAAGCATATACATGTGTGGAACTAGGACAGAAAGGAGGTAGCTCCACGCATGTGCATGCTTTACCACAATTTTTATTGTATATTTTCTTGTTATCTCCTGCCGAACTAGCCTGGTCTCAGGTGATTAAATAGCTGTGTAAATCTGACAGGGGTTGTCCAGTGATTAAGATTAGCTCGAAGAGGCCCAACTGAGTAGGTGTCTTCCCCACCTCACATGAGGATGGAAAAAGATCCAGTTTCCAAAATGTTGTGTTTTCTACATTATGGAATACTGGATGATGGAAAAAGTCCAAAAACACAGTAATTCTGCATTTTACCTTCATCAGAACCCTTTAGAATCTACAATGACAACAGTTTAAAAGCATTACAATATGACTTCCCAGATTGCCCAAATGCACATTTTATGTGTATTTACCAATACTGTACATTTCACTTGCCATAACAGATTTTACATGCACTTTTATATACGTAAATGAATATCAGCACTAAATTAAATCAAAATCAAAGGTAGGAAGTTACACCTGATTGTAACTGCTGGTTGAGCAACATGAAATGTTTCTCTCTTTTGACATTTATATTGAGTTTCAAAATAAAGCAGGGTAGGCAATTCACTATACTGCAAAAAATGCTCCTATGGAAGCATAGCTTAATAGGAATACAATATACATTCTGTACAAAAATATATATGTCCATCTTCTACCTTGAAGGCAATAAAAAAAAAAAAAAAGCTATCCCTGTAACAGGCCATGAAGGCCCATAGGGTTGTGAGACGTTGAGGGTCCCACATTATCTAGACAGTAGGCTCAAAGATGGTGGTAAGGTTGTCAGCCTTATGCGCCGGCCGCGCTTTACTCCCTAGGAAAATTATTTATTTTAATTCCTGGTACTCATTTCTGTTAGAGGCTGAGTGAACCCCAGGGCCAGAGTGCAACCTTCCGACTTGTAGCATAGTGCCTTAACCACTACGCTACCGCGTGCCTCCTTCTACCTTGAAGGTACATGCAACAAATTCATCTGATCCATTAATAAAGATTTTCCAAACTAAGAAGCATCAAATTCCAGATGACAGTATTCTTCACATCAAACATAACTTTCGCATTTCAAATTAACATTCCATATAAAAAAAATGGCACTTCACTCATGCAGTTACCAATGTATCAAAACCTCACATAATGAACCACTGACATAATTTTGTACTTCACATGTAATTGAACTGAAATCCTAGCCTTTCTATTTTATGTTGTCTACATGTGTGCGAAGATGAACAGTAAGTCCCCAACTCTGAGAGAAACCTTTACCACAAACTGCACAAGTGTGCGGTTTTTCTCCTGTGTGTGTGCGCCTGTGTTTAGAAAGAGACCCCCTTCGAGAAAATGCCCTCTGGCATACTCCACATTCGTATGGCTTCTCACCCGTATGAGACCGAATATGTGCAGTAACCTGAGAACTGTGAGAGAATGCCTGACCACATATACGACAACTGAAAGGTTTTTCTCCAGTATGAGTTCGAAGATGTGCAGAGACATGTGATGGATAAGCAAATGCTTTATCACAATATTCACATCTGTAACACTTCTCAGGTGGTTCTCCTGTGTGAGAGCGAAGATGCATAACAAGACATGCTTTCATAGCAAACGTTTTTTTGCAAAATTCACACTCAAACG